TATATATGATAAAAACTAAATTGTAAATATAGATATTATTATATTTATAATAAATATCTATTTTTTGTATATATTGATATTATAATTATTTGAATCATGCAATTTTGTATTATAATTTAGATCTGTTACAAATTATTTTTATTTTTATTATTAATACATATGGATTAATGCCAAATTACCAAATTAAAAACATATGTACATACCTTATAGAAATAAGCAAGCACTACAGTTTTTATACAGCTTCGTAAAAAAACTCATTCTTAATATATTTTTGATTATTTTGGATAGGTAAAAAATGAATTTTTTGAATACTGTTAATATACGTGATCAGATAAATTCGAAAAAACTGTTGATCATTCATTATTTGTTTATAATATGAGCAATCTAAAATTAAATCTTTTGTATTGGTTGCCTGAAGCCATTTTAAGACAAAAAAAATTGCATATTCGGTATTATTTGCTTGGTGTTGTAAAATTGCTTGTATTTTTGCGTATGTAAAACCTTCACTCTCTTCTTCAATTTCAATTATATCGCCAACATGAAATTTAAGTTAATTTGATTTTCTATCATTTTCAATGATAGTATATGAAATATAATCAAAATAATCTAACTTATCATAAAGAAAAGCACTTTGAATACTAAAATATTCTAAATATGAAAGTTGTAAATCATGATAAAGAGGTTGCTGGCTACTTAGTTTTGTTAACTATCCTTCATTATTTGTTCTTGTTTTAGACCACTTATTCTGTAATACTATGTTTATAAAATTTTTTAGTATTAAATTTGAGATAATATCAACTTCTTCAATATCATCATTGATTTTTTTAAAGCTTGGATCTATAGTATACCACTTGCAAAGAATTGAATATAGTAAATTGTCTGAAGAAAAATTTGAAAGTTTATTTGCAGTTGTTGGAAAATGATAATCTTTACACCATCAAATAAGTAAGTTAATGCAAATAAAGTATTATATTGTTGAAAAAGATCTAGTTCAAGATTTTTGTAATTAGTATGTACTACTATATTTTTGTATATTCTGTGCACCATTTCTTTGACTCCAACAGATGTATTAACAAGAGTTGCAAAAGTGCAAGCATGTTGTGGCAGATGAATGCTTACATGGACATTAGGTAAATTTTCAAATTCATTTGAAAAAATTTTTAATAAGTTGATTTGTTCTTTTTCAAATAAACAGCGAAGCTCCTTATAAGTATTATTTGTCATTGTTGTTGAGAAAGCTAATTTGAGTGGCTTTGCTTCAATGACCCAAAGCTCTATTAGTTTAATAATAGCATGATCATTACAAGTAAGCTGATATACATTTTTAAATGTTTAATTATTTCAGTTTTTAAATATGAAGATGATAAAAAGTAACATAAAATAAATAGTATTAACATTGCTAAGCGCAAAGTGTCTGAAAATATAAAACTTTGATGATGAGTTAGTGGATTTGGCATTCATGACCATCTTGCTGGTTTTTTTATACTTTTTCAATATTTAAGCCAAGCTACTTCTCCATTAGAGTTATATCTAAAAGACGCACAGCTTTACTAGCAAGTGCATGGTAAGCATCTTGTAGTGTTTGTAAATGTCTGTTTCAATAAAGTTTATTAAGAACTGGCTTTTTACTAAGTCCATATTGACTAGATAATTGTCGATGTGCAGAATCTGTTTTTTGCTGTGCAATTTTATTATATTGTATATCAGTTAAATGATGAAAATGTGCATTTGAAAGAAAGTCAAATTTGGAATCTGTTAGCTAGCTGCTAGATGCAGTACAAGTTCTGCAACCATAGTTTGCATTATGTCGAAGAACACCAGCAAGGTCATTACCTTGTGGTAGGTTAGCCGTAACATAGCCAAGTCCGCCTACAATCCATATTTCTCCTTCTAATGTATTTACAATTTTTCCATTTTGTAATTGGTAAATATTATCAAGAATTGGTTTAATATAATCATTAAATGAAGTCACAAATAGAACAAAGCCAAGTAAAAAATAATTTTTAATTAACTTTCGTAACTCAAGTGGCATATTTCCAATAACCAAATAAACACCATCTAGTGAATGATATGCATTATGAAATGTACCAAAATTATCATAATATATTTCAAAAAAATCTTCTTAATAGGCATTGGACATGGTGGTAATGTTGGAATAGGTATATATTCATAAGGAGCTCTGTGTCTTTTGATAAGATCACGAATATGCCACCAACCATTAAAGCTATATAATATTTCAGTTACAAAATATTTATATTCTGCTAGCCTATTAAAATCTTTTACCAAACATTAATTAGAGTAATATTTTCAGGTATAATCAAACATTCTTGCCCTTCAACAAGCCAAAGTTCCATACCTATTCTACGTGTTTTTCTATTATTACTATGCAAGTGTCCAGGAAGCCCATGATATGAAACAAGTGGATCAGCTCCGAGGAATTGTCTTTCATTAACTTTAACGACACTATGAACATGTGCAAACTTAATTGCTTTATCTTGATTATACTGATAAAAGTTGCCTGCCTGGTAAGTAACTAGTTAAAAATAATAATAATAATAATAATTAATTAATAAGATAAAACTAGGTATTATTATAATATTTGCAATATAATACATCAAGATTTTTTTTTTAAAAAAATACTGACTATTATTTATGCAAAGTTTAGATTCTCTAAATAAAGGCAAGTCTTGCCAGAGTTCACTATGCCATAATTCATGTTTTTCATCAAATACAATACCGGGGCCAAAATATAAATAAGGTGCAATTGTTGGATTATTAAGAATATATTCAATATAATCTGCTGGCATTATTGAATATGTAGGTTTTGTTGGATCTGAGTTTGATGGTGTGTGCTGCCTAGAAATTGGAACTGTATAACTCCAAATCTTAAGCAATGGGAGTCTATTTCTCCATTTGCAAAAACGCTTTATATTTGCAATAACATGTTCAGGCTGGAAGTCAGGATGTTTAAGAATTTTGGTAAGTTCTTCATAGACAGCTGTAGAATCATATGCTCTGTAACCTATAAAAAAAGCATAGTAGATGTAAAAGTCAGTAAATATGGTCCATATTCTCCATTAAACCCCTCAAAGGATTGTGACCAGCTCTCAAATAGTTTGTATCCTTTGGTACTCTGTTCTATTTCTTCAGCAGTATTGTCATTATCTGAATTTTTCAAATCATTATCATTGTTTGAATTTGTCAAATCATTATCATTATCATGTAAATAGTTTTTATAGTCTTCCAAATTTTCTGAATTTACATTATCATGCAAGTATTCCATCTCATTATTCTCCCAATCTACACTATCTAAAAAATATTTCTCTTCACTAATCTCCCAATCTACATCTTTATCTGATTCACTTGAGTATTGGTATGTCTCACTAGAATATTGATCTAGTTTATTTGATTTATTTGAATATTGTTCTGAATCACTTAAATCATTATTATTTAAATATTTATTTAAATTTTCTAAATTACTTAAATGATTTGATTGTTCATTTGATTTGTTTGCTAGTAACTTATAGATAATAGGTAAAGAACTTTGATACCTTTTAGCTGGTTTTGTATGAACATGAAGAAGAGGCAAGGGCGTGTAGAATTTTTTAACTCTATTATGTTGATTGCTCATATTAAAGCTTGCCTAATTTAATAATTGTAAGCAAAGTATATATATTTACTTTTAATCACACATTGATTCCTCTTATTTTTTTACTAGCAATATCTTTTTCTAGTCTAACTTTACACAATTTACACATGACAAGATAAATCTTTTATTACTTTGTTCAGATAAAATATCTATTAATAATCATTTTTCTTTTATATGTCTCTTATTACAAACTATATACTTTATGCATACATTAAAATAAACTCTGCTTGCATTACCTTCATGTTATACTAACCCTGCATTTTAACTTGAGAACTGTATTACCTGATTTTATATAAATTATAAGTTTCTAAATTAAAATAATATGATTAGTTATACTTATATCCAGCTTTTTGTAAAATTAAAGATTTAAGATGGTTAGAATTAAGGGCTTAGTAGCAAAATCTGGAGTCAATATCCTGATTCTATTGGGAGAATTAAATAAGTGCAAATCTGCAAAAACCTGCGAAAATACAGATTTTTGCAGAATTTTTTGCAAAAAACTGCAAAATTTTTCATATATTGAAATTTTGCACAGAACTGTATTTAATTTCTGTAACTATAGCTAGTGAGTCTAAAGTTTTGCACAGATTTTCATTTAATTTATTATTTAATTTTTTTGCAAATCTGCACAGAACAGCACTAAAAAATTTCTCCTGATGTCTGAATCAGGCTACAACATAAATACAGTATACTGGTTATCATTATCGTTATCGCATACGTACGTACTAGTACGTACTAGTATAATATGTACATATTTGACTGGTTTAGACTTGGGATTCATTGTGTTGCAAATAGTGATGCAATAAATAGTGATGCAATAAATATAGTGATGCAGTAAATAACTTAAAATTTATTAATATTAATATGTAAATTATCGACATAGAATAGAAATTGAATGAACAAATTTAAGACATTTATTCATTATCAGAAAACTAGCGAAAATAATATAACAACTCATAAATTTTTTTTTCAACATAATTGCCATGGATAGGGATATAACCCGACCGACTTGTATTACATTTATTATTAAATAGAGTTAATTGATTCATTAGTATCTCTAATTACGGATACTCTTAAATTCCAAATAGAATTTTATTAATATATATAATTAATTCATAATATAGTTATATTTAAGAATAATCTAAAGTATCAATATAATTACATTGAAAATGTTCTAATATACATAAGACAAGATTATATAGAATGATCTTAAGTATCAATTAATTACATTGAAAATAGTTTAATATATATTTACATAAGACAAGATTACATACTTTGTAATTCAATCATAAATTGATCATTATATTTATCATCATATTTATCATTATATTTATCATTATATTTATTATCATATTTATATTATTTTTGTACACGTATAAAGAGATCATATTTTTTTTCATATTTACCTTTCGCTTCATTTATATTTTTTTTCTATTCACCTTTCACTTTGATTTATAATTTTCTTTTTTCTAGTTCACTTTTCGCTTTATTATTTTTTCACTCTTATAAATACATTGTCATACATTTTAGATGATATTTGTTTCTATAAATAAATCATCATGAGCCGAAGAACTGAAGATATAACTTGTCCCACTATTGCTAATATCTACACACACGTAAGTAACCTCACAAAGGTTACTTCAGAACTTTCCACTAACACACAAGAATTAACCACAAAGCTTCTTGACTTCCAAATGAATCAAGAAAAGACAAACACTGAGTTCTTAACTATATTAGATAAGATTCAGAATCAAATTAAAAAACTTGAAAATTCTAAATATAGCACTGAACTAGATCATAAACTTAGCCAAATAGTAGATACTATTGGTGAAAAAATTACCAAAGATGTAGAAGTAATAGATAGTGATATGACTGGATTCGTGGATGAAGTTGTTAATAAAGCTTTTGATAAAGTAATGAGTGAAATTAACAAAAGTACAGAAAAAGCTTTAAATGAAGTTAAAGATGATGATGACAATTATATTGATAAAGACGCTGAAGAGGTTTTTGATTGTACAGAAGATAGCCGACATGCAAAATGAAACAAAAAAAGGCTCATTACCTTCCAGTTTTGAGAGAACAGATTCATATAAAAATTAATCAGCATTTAGACTGGGCAAAAAATAAACAAAAAAGAAAATTCAGCATTGCTAAGGATATTGGACGTGAATATATCTATAATCTAGAAGAAACTCCTGTAGCACCCCATAATAGAGATGTCACTGAAGAATATGTAAAATTTTTCTTGCGGGAATTGAAGAAAAATCTAAAAACTTGTATGCTAATTCATTTAGTCTTACCTTGCTAGATTTACTACCATTGTTTTCAAATTAGCACGATAAGAGAATTTGTGGATAGTATGAATCCTGCATATTACCGTTGTTTTTACAATGGTAATATACAGGATTCATATGATTCACAAATTCTCTTATCATGCTAATATAATAATTTTTATGCATTTATTTATTTATTTATTTATTTTTTTAGCTGAAAGAGAAACATGAACAGCATCAGCTATTTGAAAAATATGTATTGCATACATTATCTATTTGCGTAAGCAACACCTTTTGTTAGATAGTAACCCAAGTAAATTGCAAGAGAATGTTATTGCACTTTGTCATAGCCAACACCGCTGTAGAGTAAGTATTTTTTTATTAATATTTTTTTTTTTTTTACTATAAATATAATAATACTACATTATTATTAATAATTTAATTTTAGAAATCAGTTGCTTGAACTGAAAAGGCATCAGAGCTTACTTTTTTACATCCTTTCAAGGATGTTCTCAAAATTCTTCAAATCGATTGTACTTCTCCTGAAATAAGTGAAGATGAAGCTGAAGCATCATCTAAAAAGCGTGGAAGAAAAAAGTTGCATGTTTCTGAAATGGCTTTTAGATCTAAAGAGGTAATCTGCACTGTTATTCTTTTATATATTTGTACCGTGTAGTGTTTGAATTGTGGTTGGTTATATTGAAATTACCAATCATCACTTACTATTTTATGTATAGTGTAACTTATTTAGGGTCCTAAGTATCACATATAAAAAAAAACCCTTACCTATTAAGAACTAGTTGATTTTACTTATATTATTTATTTTGAAAATTTCAGGCAATTCATATTATTAAACAAATTGATCATGCTATAAGAGTTGATAAATCTGGCAAAAGAAGTAGTGGTCAGGTTTAACCTGATAAACATATTCGTATTAATCAAGTGGATGAACGTTATTTTAGCCTAGCCACCAAAATACCTAAATTCAAAATAAATAAACTACCTCCTTGGGCTGTCTGTAGAGGTGCAATTCGTACGTCTAGCAGTGCTAGTGGTTTTAGCAGTTCTGGTAAGTGTAATTATTATTATTATTGTTATTAACAAATGTTAAAGTAATATATATATTAAATTAGAATCTTAAGCTACATCAGCAAATCTCATTGTATTACTGGATTGAAATCTTAGCATACTCAGTTTGCAACATTCTCAAAGTAATTTCTTTGATTTACTCTTAGATATTTGCATAATATTTTTTATGTAATTTTATTTTAGATTTAGCAATTACATTAGAAATTTAGAATCATTACATTTGCAATAAATTGAAAATACAATCATGTTACTGCTAAAAATTTGACCATTTTTATTAAAATTACATTTGTAGTATATTGAAATATAAATGCTAATTTATCGTATTATATTTAGAATACATTTAGTAATATTCGATAGTATTTTTAAAGTATATCAAATTACTTAAATGAATTTATAATATATTTACAATGTATTATTTACAAAAACAGCCAAGATAACAAATTATTTTATATCGTAATGATATTGTAACGAGATAAAATTGATATCATTATCAGAAACTTATGAGACTTATTAATTATATTGTGAAGATATTGCAACAATCACATTACAATCTTGTAGCTATATTTTAAGAATTTAAGGGTTTCTGCAATGTATAGAAAAACATCAGCCTAAATACTTCAATTTTTGGGTCGTCTTTGCTGAAAAATTATCAAATTTAGTGAACGAACAAGGAAAAGCATTATTTATTACAATTTGATTAAAGGTTATTAAAAGATAGATTGCATTTATTATGTTTTTATTAAGATGTTAATTATTTGCTTTAAAAGATTCAAGCATTAAAAATAAATTATTTTTTAGAATTTATTGTTTATCATGTAAAAAATGCAAAATTAATACTTGAACAACCTTTATCAATAATAAATTTTGAAGAAAAAAAAGATGGTTTGTATCTTACTGACCTGTCAATTGAAATAACAGCTCACTTGGTTAAATTATTCGATTTCTGACAATTAAAAATTTGCTTCCGATCCATTGAGTGAGATATTTGAAAAAATTCTAATTAAAAAAATTTATCTCTGATTCATTGAGTGAGGTGTTTGAGAGCATCCAAAGTCAGTGATTTTTGCATAATTGGTTATACATAAAATTTTTATTACATGCAACATATAAGTGTCGCCAAAGGAAAAACCTACAAGTCACACTTTTGAATATTACCTTTTAATGAAAATAACTTAAAATAGGCAATTTTAATACCTACTGTTCTTAATATTATTTGAATTGTCTTGTTAAGATAATTCAAATGATATTAAAAGTATAGGTTTTAGATTTTCTGATTTAAAGATATTTTATTAAAAGTAAATATACAAAAAGTACAACTTGTAGGTTTTCTCTTGGCAGCACTCATATGTTTCTGCAGATTTTTAGAACATCAACTTAGGTTATTCTTATGCATCTAAATCAATTGATTAGATAATAATCGTGATGACGCTTGAGCACCACAATTGATGATGATATTTATAGAATTAAATGCTTGTATATACTTTTTTTGTATTTATTTACTACCTAAAAAATCTAATAAAAAAAATTCTTTACAATCAATAGGTAAAGTTTCAACTTTAGTTATGTTGACTTCCCCATTTAGTGAATTTAACAATTTAAATTTCTTTACTATTCATCAAATATAGAAAAACATCTATCCTAACCTTCAGTTTTAAATTTTTGCTGAGAAGATTTAAAATTTAAATGAGTGAAAAATGGAAAAGTATTTATTATAGTTTGGTTAAATGTTTAAAGATTGTTATATTTATATTAATTTATTGTTTTAAAAGCTTTGAACATTTAAAATAAAGTGACTATCTTTTTACATTAATTAGAAATTTCTTGAGAATTAATTGCTTATTATATTTAATATGTAAAATATGTAAAAATAATACTTGAGCGACCTTTATCAATGGTAAATTTTTAAAGAAAAAAGTAGCTTGTGTATTACTTAATTATTTATCGAAATGGTAACTCATTTGGTTAATATATTTTAATTTTCTGACTAATTAAAAAATTTACTTCTAATTTATTGAGTGAAGTGCTTGAAAACACTCTTACTCAGTATAGTAATATTATTAAATTTTCATCTGTATGTTTATTCAATATAGTTTGCATGATTAGTTTGTATGAAAGAACATTCTTGTCGACCAATAAACCTTAACAAGAAATATTAAAAAAAACTCCTAGTGTATACGCAGGCGTAGAACTTGTTCCAGTATTCAAAATTAAAACTCAGTGAGCGACTCCCTACCAATCATGATCATAAATTACCAAATTGTCGAATAAGGTAATTTGGCAAATAATTGGCTACAAATGCTGCTTTGCAGCATGTGTTTATTTGCCAAATTACCATTATTTGACAATTTTTGTCCAAATATTAAATACTTAAATGAGTAATCAGTCATATTATTATATCAGGAATGGAGTGATGTATAATAAGTAGCTGCACTACATTGTCATGCTAAACCAGGAACAGGCTTAATTTAGAAAATAATAAACAACTTTAATTCAGTATATATAGTTATATATAGCTTCAGATAAATAAATATTGGGTATACAGCTAAATATAGCAAACTGTATTGATATAAGACACAATATTTAAACAAACAAGATATGGCATAAGATTTTTAGATGTATATAGTATAGAGTGTAAAAATATCTCTTTAGAAAGTATAGCATACTAATATACTAATGCCAATCTTACTAATACATAACACTGGAGTACTGTAGATATTAAAAATAGAGGTATTTTGCACTATTTACATACCCTACATATGGGTAGATTTGACTCCAATCAATTATATTACATGATGTGATAATTGGGTTTAGAAACATTATGACATTAATACTGTACTGTAAATATATAGTATATAATATAAAATTGCACACAAATTTATTATAGAAAGAATAATTTTTAAAGCTTTTAATAATGCAGTATATAATTCTTTTATTTAAGAAATATAATAAATTTATTAAAAATAACATAGCAAGTCTAATTAAAAAAACATGACAAGTCTCTAAGAAAATGAATATTGAATGCTATTATTTTTGAAATTGGTTTCATAATACAGTATTTCCACTGAAAGTATTTCACTTTATACCTGTACTTTTAAAAATATTTGTTCCATAATAAAATATTTCAAAATTTTTGTCTTTCGATCTTCTACATAATTCATATATATAACGCAATAGCCTAAAAGCTTTAAAAAAGAGGTTTGTAAATACAAAAGTGCTAAAAAAAATAAATAAATAAACAAAAGACAGAAAACCTGATATAAAATCTTATTTAAAAGCTAATATTTTTAGTTTCAATACCTTTTGCTCATTCCTACCTATTTCTACTCATTTCTACTCATTTCAACAAAACCCATCTATAACCAATCTATAAACCGTGATTGCGAGTAGATTCAAGAGAGAAAATTGTTTGTGATTGGTTTAGAAATCATCTGATCGTAATATTGATTTTTAGTGTAGGACAAATTCGTAATAATCACAAATTTTACATAGAACAAATTTATTTGATTGGCGCAAATTTGTAGATCTTATTTGCAAATATCACAAATAATCATCAAATGGAGTCAAATCGGCCCATATGAGGTGCCGCGCGCGGCAGATCCTCGATTTTGATTGGCTAACGGCCGAAGATCTTCGAAATTTTGATCCGCATTACGAAATTGTTTACTAAATTCCGGCCAGAATTAACTTTTTAATTTTTTCATTGCAAAAATAGAAATTTTTAAAAAATAAGCACGCATTATGATAAAATTGACCCAGGAACAATTTTCACTTAATGGGCGGCTGCGATTTCATTAGTAAAATTATGAGTAATTCCGGCTTAATTTTTTAGCCAATCAAAATCGAGGATCTGCCGCGCATTTTTTGTGCGGCACCTAGCGCTAGGTTCAATATTAAGTTATAGGCTCCCTGCGCCGTATGTACGCCCAAGAAATCTTTTCCAAATTTGGATTCTTAGCAACGTTTCACAATTTAATTCCTATATAAATACCTTTTTTTAAAATGACTCATACGATCGTACAATAAAAAATTTTTTCCAATATTCAATATGATAACATTACCGAACGAATGCTACTATGAAATATTTGATAAGCTCCGGCATAATTCCAAAAATTTATTTGCATGTGCACTTGTAAACCGTCAATGGTGTAGAATTATTATACCAATTTTGTGGAGCGAACCTAAAATGTATTTTCAAGACGAAAGACTTTTAAAAATATTACTTTTAACATTAAATGCTGAAGAACAAACTTTATTAATTCCTTTTAAAATTATCCTTCCAAATCATCCAAAACCATTATTTGAATATACAAATTATATCACATCTGTTAACTTTGATTTGTATTCTGGAATTAGAAATTGGTCTCTTTTTAAGGGAATTGTTCCTTCTTATGCGAGATTTAAATTAAGACGTGAACTTATAAATACCGTTAAATGTTCTTTAATTGCAATGCTTTTACGAACTGGTAAAAATCTTAAACGTTTAACTCTTGATATAACTATTCGTGATCAAATAATATTTGAAAATCTTTATAAGAACACTACCATTACCTCAATAGCATTATTTATCAGTAATGATGATAAATCTAAGGTAATAGGCATATTAGCAAAGATCCTTTGTAAGAATTCTAATATAACTCATTTGGACCTTGGAATTAATGCACTGACACTGGTGTTCGAGGAAGCAAAAGTATTATTAAAGGCATTTCATAAAAACTCTGCCCTGAAATCTTTAAATCTTTATTCTAATAATATTGGTGGGTTTAGTAGTGAAATAACAATGATGATTGTGGAGTTTCTTTGCAAGAACACTACGTTGACCCGCCTGGAGCTTGGTATGAATGGTCTTGGATCAAAAGTTGGAAAAGAATTAGCGGGTGCACTTTGCAAAAACAACACATTGACTTATTTGGATCTTCGTTATAATCGATTTGAATCAGAAGGAGGAATAGCATTAGCCGATGCACTTTGCAAGAACACCACACTAACTTCTTTAAATCTTCAAGTGAATCATCTTAGATCGGAAGCGGGAAAAGCATTAGCCGACGCACTTTACAAGAACACCACACTAACTTCTTTGAATCTTCAAAATAATCATCTTGGATCAGGAGTAAAATTATTAGCAAATGCACTTTGCAACAATACCACGCTGAAAGATTTAAATCTAGCTGAGAATAAAATTGAATCGGAAGAAGGAAAAGCATTAGCAGATGCACTTTGCAAAAACACTACGTTAACCTCTCTGGACCTTAGTATAAATAATCTTGGAATAGAAGCAGGAAACGCATTAGCAGATTCGCTCTGCAAAAACAACACACTAACTTCTTTGGATATTTCTTCTAATAGTCTTGAATTAGAAGTAGTAAGGGCTTTAGCAGAAGCACTTTGCAAGAACACTACTCTGACTTCTTTGGCTCTTAGAGATAATAATCTTGGATCAAAAGGTGGAAATGCATTGGCAAAAGCACTTTGCAAAAATATCAAGTTAGCTTCTTTAGATATTAGTAAAAATGAACTTAAATCTGATGAAGGAAAAGCATTAGCTGCTGCACTTTGTAAGAACACCACTCTAACTTATTTGAATCTTGATAGTAATAAAATTGGATTAAAAGGAGGAAGAGCGTTAGTAGATGCACTTTACAAGAACACCACATTGACAACTTTGTCTATAAGTTTTAACGAGTTTGGAAAAGAAATTAAAAAAGCATTAAAAAATGCATTTCCTTGGTGTACTATCAAAGATAAAGCAGGTTTAAAGTTTATCAGATGAAATTAGGGCATGGTGTATTACAAACGTAATAATTGAAGAATTTTTATTACGACATCTTTACTATTAGAAAGTTTTTGTTTAGTCAAACATTTTTGACAACTATGAATATCAGTATCTAATAATCTTACAAATGATGGTAAAAGTTTATTCGCATGCTGCCTTATTAATCATGTTCAGTTATAAACACAATACCAATATTATGGAGTAATCCGTTACAGAGGGAAATTTCCAAATCACTTGTGCGAACATACATTTCAACATTATCTCCTGAAGAAAAGGGACCAATAATCTCATTTGCATAACACTTTCTAACCTTCCAAACCATTATTTGAATATGTGCTTTCTTAAAGATTCTTGATACTAGTTATTCACCTATACATCTACCTTTATTTCTATTTTGGATACTTCGTTCTAATTACTTCGTGACGCGTGAAAGTAGATTGGTTTGCTTCGCGAACAATATCAAACAATCGTTAACAATCAGGCGTTCTCTTATTGCTAGCTTGATGAGGAGTTAGAATAGAGATTGAGATTTTGATGTAAGTCTTTAATTAGATAAAGACGTGAAGGGAAACTTTAATTGATATCCTTGAGATTAAAGATTTGTAATAGCGGAAGGAAGTTGTTCCGTTGTGTGTATTGGGAATTCCAAGTTGCTGTCATATATAAAAAGTCAATGTATTCGCCTTTCTTGTATATACAGGCTCTATCTGAGTGTTTCCTCCTTTATAATAAAGTTATCTGAGTGATTCTTCATTATATCGTACATTATGATTATATCGTATTTCTGACTATTGTATTATTGATTGATATTGTGATTATACTGCATGCATGCTAGAAAGAGTCTATACACATACTGACTAAAACGTACATAACTCTATTTTCATATACACATACATTTATTTCATATATCCCTATCTTACATCATTTACTAATTAAACCGGTCCATTCACTTTCCAAGCTCTTTCATTCTGATAGTAACAACGGTGCTAAGGAGCAAATGTTTTTGTGAGAGTTAATTATCATTTATTAGCGGTTTTACTAGAGGTCCGTTATAAATTATTGCTGCATGCACAATTGAAAAGGTATGGCAATATAGGCTTGACATTAGTTTAAGGGTGTACTACGGTATAATTTCTTTTTTTAAATAGGTTTCATGTCTTACGTGTGAGTAACTATATTACTGCATATATTTCCTTTTGATCTGTTCAACTTAGATAAACAATATCATAAAAAATTTTTATACATTATATAGAAGCATTTTATTTAAAACATACTATTATATATCATTAAGACAAAAAAAACCTTTATATAAAAAATTTTAAGGAAAAAATCTTAAAAATATATAATAATATGTGTAAAATTTAACATATATAACACAACATTCTCATACAAAATAAAAGATATAAATTTAAAAGTTTAACATGTAATAGAAAAATGAAAACCTTATACATTATAAATTTATAAACTTTTTCAAATTTAAAATAGGTGATTTTTTGTCTGACAAAAGATCATTTAATTTATTTTCAGAAGGCTTATGTTTATTATCTGCTGCCTTTTTATACCAGCGTAATGCTTCATCTTTGTCTTGTGACATACCTATTCCTTTCCTATAACACCTTGCGACATTAAATTGACCCTCAGGGATATTGCCATTGGCAGCTTCTTGATAATAATCAAATGCTTTTTTTTTATCCTTTTCTGTTGCTATACCAAGTTCATAGCAATTTCCTAAATTATTACACACAGAAATGCATCCTTTTGTATATGAATTTTTAAAACATTGAAATGCCTCATATTTGTCCTTTTTAATTCCTAATCCATTCAGATAACAATGGCCTAAAATACTAGCTGATCTTGCACATTCTTCTCTTGATTTTTGATACATGCAACTGATTTCTTTGGATCTTTTATAGTTCCAATGCCACACCTATAACATTCCCCAAGATAAAATTTTCCTATAGCATTACCTCCATGCGCAGACTTTTTGAACATATCAAATGCAGAGTCATAATATAACTCTGTTCCAATCCCCATAAAATAAAAAAATCCAAAAAGGCATTGCAATTTGGAATTTAAAATTTTATATTCGTTAAGAATATTGAACACACCTTCTTCTGTTTTGTCGTATTTCTTGATATAATCAGTCAAAAATTTTGAAATTTGAGAAAAATCATTTCCGCGGTCTGTTAATTCTAAAAACATCTTCCATAGTTCGTTGAATAAATTATATCCTATAGAAGACGATTCAGATGTGTAAAGGGAGTGTGTATAACTTGAGTTGGATGTAGATATGCTTAATTTATAAAAAGATTGTTCGGAGCTTAAACTTGAATCTCTTCTAATATTAAACCTTTCAGTAACTTCGTTAATATTATTTGTAATGAGTCCATATTCAACATATTTTTCTGAGATCCTGGAGAGATCATCTATAATTTTGTTCATAAGTGGGTGTTCAGCCAGATTGGAGGACCAACATTTCATGTAAATATCAACATAATCCAGCGGAGTGTTTGGAATAATTTTTTCACGATAATAAATATGCATCGTTAGAGCAAACTTATTGGAAAATCCTGAGAATGGAGCAGTTCCACTCGTGAGTTCCCACATTAATATTCCTAAGCTGTATATATCAGATCTTTTATCGCGTTTGTTCCGAGCATTAATAAAGCATTGAGGGTCAATATACTCTATCATGCCAGGTACATTTGAAATTGAGTTTGAAGAAGGTTCTATTATTTGTTTCGAAATTCCAAAATCAGCAATAAGGGCTTTATTATTATCAATAAGCACATTTTTAGAATGCTGCAAAGATTTTAAAATAGATTATTATCAAAACTTTAATACATAAATTAGTATTTGAAGATTATAACCTACCAAATCACGATGAATTATACCATTACTGTGTAAATATTTTAACCCAGAAGTTATATCCCTTGCAAATCAAATAACTTCAGTAAATGAAATTGCGAAAACTCCTCCAATTCGTTTATTTCTTAAATATTTCCGTAAGTTTCCTCCCTCTACCAATTGCAATACCATCGCAATTCCTTCCGTAAATGGATCTAAATATCAAAAGATATTACTATTAAATACAAGCTCTGTTTCTAATGGAAAACCTTAATACCTTTAGTAACTCCATAAAATTTAATGATATTAGGATGATGATCAACCATGTTTAGTAATCTTAACTAAATTTATAATTTAATATTAAACTCTAGAAAATTATTAATTTCAATACTAAATTTCAAATACAATAGGTCAAATCGAAAGAATGTTACCTCACGCATAAATCTATGAAAACTTTTTCCGTCATTATGCAGGTTATTATTCAACCTCTTTAGTCCATAAAAGCCTTTTTTGTAAGATGCTGAATATACTGTTGCGTATCTTCCACGTCCAATAATTTTGCGATCACTAAATTCGGAATATTCATAATTTTTTATTTCCTGTTTGTTTAAAAGTCTCTTAAGATCGTCTGAATATTTATATATTAATTGCTTATCTCTATCTTCATGTGTATTTTGTTTATCATCGAAAACAATATCTTGGGGCTTTATAAAATCAATTTGTTCGGGAACAACTTGTGTAAAAGTTTCACTGTAATCGCGTGGTGCACAACCAATAGTGTTATTTGTAATGTACTTGATAGATGTATCTGTTGATAGCCTCTTAAGTTCAGCTAAAACTTCATTCACTATTGGGCGCTGGATTGGAACAGGAGACCAACATTTCTTATAGAGACTAATATAATCTAAAGGAGTATTTGGGATAATTTGCTCTCTCTTGTCTATTGCAATTTCTAAAATTATGCCTTGTATGTCAAGGTTATTAAATGGAGGAATTTCGCTCGTGAGTTCCCAAAGTAACACACCCAGACTGTAAATGTCAGATTTCTTGTTAACTTTAGCCATTTTCCCAAATTTAATTAACTGTGGCTCGGTATATGTTGGCATGCCAGTTATACCTGAGCTTAGAGTAATAGAATCATTTAATTGCTTTGCAACCCCGAAGTCTGCAATCATTACTTTACCGTTTTCTACTAAAACGTTTTTAGAGTGCTAGGGAAATTTGGTAATAAGCAAATTATTTAAATTTTGATAAAATTACAAAATAAAACTTACTAGATCCCGGTGAATGATATTTCTATCATCTAAGTAGATTAATGCAAGGGTAATTTCTGTTGCTATTTGGATTAACTCGATCCACGAAATTTTATAAAGACCTTTATTATGCTTAGTTCCTAAATAATCCTTCAGATTTCCGCCACTGATGTGTTGTAATACTAACGCGAAACTGTCCTTTATTGGATCTAATATTTATGAATTAAATTATAAGTTTTATGGTTTAAATATTTAAAAATTTTGCATACCTATTGAATATCCGTAGATTTTAAGGATGTTGGGATGATCAACTTTATTTTGAAGTGCAAACTATATCGATATCAATATATATTATGTATTACTATGTAAAACCGGATGAAATACGTAATAATGATATATTACCTCACGAATAAACTTTTTAAGATTGAAACACAAATTACTTTTTATGCTTTTTAATGCATATTTTTGCTCTCCACAAGTAGCAGCATATACAATTGCAGTCCCTCTCGTCTGATAACTTCATGATCTTTGAATTGGGTGCAATCAAACCTTTTAATAGATAATTCTTTCAATCTTACTTCTAATAGCGCTAAATTTTCTGCCACTAATAAATAAAATTGAAATATCAATGTTAATATTTTAATAAATTAATAATTTGATTATTATTAGGGATATTCACATATTTTTTCACTTGGCATAGCATTATTCAATTCATCTTTATCACTTTCGGCATTACTTTGTGTATCTATTTCGATATTATTACTTTCCATAATCCGAGTTGGTCTAAACTCGGACTTTTTAGCCGACTCAAATGACTCAAATACAAAAAATAATGACTGGTGTAACTGTCGTGTGGCCACAAAAACGATAGTTAACAAAAGAAATTAGTAACAAGTGCAGCAAAAAGCGGCTTCGGGATAATCCTGTGATCTTGAGAAAATCATCACCAAAATTTGTATATGATTGTCACTTATATAATACGTGGTACGTAGCAAAGAAACTAAATTTACTTTTTTTTTTATTAATATATTCGATGATTTAAAAAAATTGTTATTATGTAAGATTTTCAAATTTTGATTGGTTGGCCCGAAAGTCGTCATTTGCTGTGGGACCTCCCAAGTATGTATGTGTGGATTTAGAAAATAATGCTATAATTGATATGGAAACTATATTACGAAAACACCAGTATTTAATATACAAAAGAATTTAATTCTTTGATTTTTTTTCCAGTTAATTATATAAAGGCAAAAAATGACGCTAATGTTCACCCTAATGCTAAGAATGTTTTAATGCAATGTGATTTAATTAATTTCTAACTATTTTTACTAATTTGTTAACTGCCCGATACGAATACTAATAGGGATAACAGTTGGTTTAAAATAAATATTTTTGAACTTTTATTTTTTTGGCTTAAAACAAATATTAGTAACTTAGCTAGAGATGCACTTAAGTTACAGGGTGTGAAAAATTGCATTTATAATATGATAATGAGAAATAAAAAACTTTAATTATAAATATATTATTAATCCTTTTGAATTACCATACTGTGGTTATGAACTTAATTTTTTAATAGTCCAAAGTATTAATTAGATCGTATATACATAATTACAAGATTTGAGATCTTTTTTTATATAATTATCAGTCTTTATCTTTCTAATCCTCAATTGTTTTATCTGGATTACTGTATCATTCCAAAATCAAGCACCGAAAATAAGCATCCCTGGCCCGCACTATGTCAATCTTGGCCAGCATTACATGCAAAAAAGGGTGCTTAATTTCAAAATTAAAACCAGGCAATAAAATTTAACCAATCATAAATTTTATTTCCTGATTTTCACTCTCACGCACACATTTGATATTCATTACATATAAACATTTTTTATAATCAGAATTCTTTATATTAATATTTTTTTATTTATATGATATTTTTGGTTTTTTTTTTTTGAAAAATTGATTTTTAAATTTTTACTATAAACTTTATTTTTTATTATTTAAAAAAATATTACTGTTTTATAATCCTTATTTTCAAATATTTTACTACAATTATATTGAAATTCTGATGATTTATTATTGATAGGGTTCATTGAGACTAATTTTCCAATAAATTTAATTGACGATATCTGTGAAGAAAAGATCATCAATGTATTTACTTGGATCTATACTACATTATCGCTTCTCTTCCAATCATTAATGAGAATATTTCATTTATAGCATAATCTTCTAAAATTACTTTCATATAGAACTATCAAACCATTATACGAGTCCAAACCAAATGTACCATCATATACATCGAATCTAAAATTTTTAAAATGTACATTAACTAATACGAGCTGAACAGGTAATCATAATGATAATCTGAATATATATACACTAAATTCATAGGAGTAGTAGCACCCCTGATTCCAAATACTTATCTCTGAAATAAACGTATCCAAAAGTTTATTTTTTGTTCTAAAAGATGTATCATTTACGGAATTATATTTGACTTTTTTCACATGAAGTCGAATTACAATTTATAGATAGAAATAAAAAATCGCCAAAACAGTATCAAGTATTATATTGAATTTTTATTTACCGAGAGTCATTTAACAAATAAGCATCATAATAACTAAATTTATCTATTAAAGTCACATTATCAGTTCACTTCAAATTATTAACAGCGGAAAATCCTAATGCTTGGAAATTGATTACTTCTTTAGTGGAATTGTGAATGTTTTAGGTGAATTAGAAGGTGATGCATTAACGAGTAGTAAAATTGAAGTTATAAAGACAAATATACGCTAATGTGCATGGCTAATTAAGGTATATACTGTATATTGGATGTTAGATTATTCAGAGACTAATGAAACTGGTTTTATTGGTATCGTATCTTGGTTTATATTTCTGCATATAAATAAAATATTCGTGTATTATAGAATTCCGTAATTTAGATTGCTGGGTAGCTTTTAAAATTTATGTTACACGAGCAAAATGAACCTAAATGAGGAAGAATACAGTATGCAATTTGAATATGATGTTCCATGCTCACCCAAATAATTAATGCAGATCAATATTGCTTATCAATAATTAAAAATTCGAAAAAATTAATTGAAAGTGCTACCGAAATGTTACAAAATCAATGGTGCTCAAAAAAGTATTCTATGCGCAGAAATACTTAATAATGTTGAAGCATGAACAAAATTAAAAAAAAACATTAGAAACCAATATGTTATCAAAAAAAAAGTTACCTGCGTTCGTGCCAATGTTAAAATTTATACTGAAGTTCGAAAGCTACAAGAAAGTAATAATAAAAGCAAAACCTGCTATCACATAGAACAGGAGGAAACGGTTATGTTACACGATTGATTTTACACATGGTGTGCAGTACATAAAAAGATTATTTTACAATAATCAGTCCGCTTGTTGTGATTATAATCCAACACCATATCAGGAACGGAGTGATATTGAAAATTTCACGTAGTGTATGGTTATACGGCAAATTAAAATGGCGTTCGTACGGACATGTGCATATGGCGAAGCAAAGGTGTAAATATTTACCCTAGGTGCCGCACAAAAAATGCGCGGCAGATCCTCAATTTTGATTGGCTAACGACCGAAGATCTTCGAAATTTTGGTCCGCATTACAAAATTGTTTACTAAATTCCGGCCGGAATTAGCTTTTTAATTTTTTCATTACAAAAA